AGAGAGAGAGAGAGAGAGAGAGAGAGAGAGAGAGAGAGAGAGAGAGAGAGAGAAGGGGAGAGCGGGGCAGTGGAATTAACGATGGCTGCCCCTGTGGGGGTATCCCCCCCCCTTCTTCCGCCGGGATGTCTAATCTCATCAGCTCACAATTTCCGAGGTAAACAGCGAGACTAGGCGAGAAAATCCGTGTTTTCGGCGCGGGACTTCCAAACACGCCGCAGCGTAATCGGTTCTGAAAAGAGCTCGCGCCGGAAAATGATGAAATGAGCGCGAAATATGCGAAATTTGCGCCGCCGAAATTACGTTAGCCTTCCATTTGCACCGAGGGCAAAGCGTAGCATTAATCTTTTATCGGATAAGATGCGGGCGCTCTGCTTAAATGCGCTTGAAAACGTCTTGAACAATCAGGGCGTACATGCTGAATCGAACGAGCGTTTCGTTGACAAGCTAATGTTCTGTTATTATTCACTGCGCATTAAAATATATATGGGCCTAATGCAGCGAGGAACATGGCCGAGGATCGGTTGGTATGATAATGAAATTTGCACTTAATATGTTGGGAGGTTACGTACGATATGATTGCATACTACTTGTGTGCGAGGAAAACACTTTCACTACTCATTGAAGAGATGAATGCACCAGCCAGTAACCACCAGTTTAACACGTGTAGACAGCGCCCTCTATGAACAGATATAGTTACGATCGTTAGGGATATATCTTCTGGCAGGGACACAGTGACTAGATTATGATCTATATGAAGATTAAATGGTGCCTGATAGGTAATACGCGTGTAAGTTCTGCTCGTGCACCATTTATTCCGCTAATTAAAAATAGGAAAGCCAGAGCTAAAGGAATTCGATAATGGTATTAAAGGGTCTCCAGTGACGGTGACTACACCGGATAGCATGTGCGGAGATGGCGATTGATTGATTTCGCAACGTCTACAGTTTTTCACACCATACTTACCATGAATTGACTTTCAACTGCTGTGTATGAGCACCACAGCTGAACGATGATTCTTTATTTATCTAAAAGGAAATTACATGTAGTAAAGTTCAACGCGTCACTACCCAGACCAGGATAACACGAGTTGAAACTAGTGGTTGCAATGCAAACGCACGGCAGAGTAACCGGTCGGTACCTGTTCGCCGGTACAGCAATCAAAGTCGGTGCTTGTCGAGTTTTTAAACCGACGGACACCCCCTCCCCCATGTCAAGCTGGCCATAACACGCATAGTTAATGCGGTTCAACTCGATATCCATTATGCATTAATGACTGCGCACTCGATTAGCTGCCTAGTCAGTAGCTTGTTGATATATTCGCATTATAGCCGGGGTCGCGGTGGGTGAAAATATAGTGGAGACGCGTTGCTTCGTCGGAAGCACCCCCATTTCCCATGCTAGTCGCATTCCCAGTTCCTAATGCATTGCTGCCGCTAATTAGGATTCGGGCGGTAACTAATAGGCTTGTTAATTCGCTCGTCGCAATGGATTGCCGAAGAAACAGTTGGAGACGTCGGCGTAGGCGTCTCACTCGCGGTGCCCGTACTTGCTAGGTTCCCTGTTTGCAGGGAGAAGCGATTGATGCAACGGGAGATCTGTGAAGAAGGGGGCGAGTTCTCGCTGTCACTCCCCACTATCCTCAAAATCTACAACCCCTACCGGGAAGGCTCACTTCACCGTCTCCGAGCCCTGATCCCCTCTTTTCGCAAATAACATCTGTCTGTGCCTAGTGACCTTATCTGCTTATCTAACCACTTGCTCCTGTCCACTCGGTTGTTCACACTGTCCAACGTGCATCCTTTGTTTCCAACCTGAGGCCAGTAGATAATATTAGCTTCTGTTGGCTGACCACTAGGCCCTACCAAATCCCCACTGTGGACAAAGTGTGTGGATTACGAGGTTAAAAGCTCCCGCATGCTGATTGGACATACTGGGGGGCTAAGCGCATCTGTTATTGGTCGCCACTGGCAGCCTTTAATCCCCGAAACGGGGCATTGTAATGGCTATTGTAGAAAGGGGAACCGTATACGAAGGGGCTTTAGCCCACTAGCGTGTGGTGTTTGGTAGTGAGTGGAGCGAGCAGCCGAGCTGAGCGCTGGCAATATTACTGCCGTATTGACCTGGTCTGTGAGGACAGCCGTCATGCAACATGCGGGCGGCTATTACGTGTTCGTCCTTTATATGCCACTGGACCACGGCGCTACGGTGCCTTGAACGCTTGTGACACGCATGTGTGTGCGCTAACTCCGAAGCGACGTCACCGGCTGGCGTTACACGTGCGTGTGTGAGCGTGCTGATTTTTTTCCTCTCTCTCTCTCTCTCGAGGATGGTTTCTAATTTTAAATGCCTCGACGACAGGTGACGACAGACACAGAGCGGCGTTAGGTGAGGAGACGGTTCGCGACGATGTGAGTTGTAATGAACGCGCGTGCTTAGGCTGGAATGTAAATGCCCTACAGCATGCATGCGTGCGCACGATATGATCTACTGGCGTGTGCGTATATATCGTAGGCACACTATCACAGGCTCAATATATACATGAGTACATAATGTAGACATGATTACAATTATATATATATATAAGGTGTGAATGTGTGTTGTGTGTGTGTGTGCTGTGTGTGTGTGTGTGTGTGTGTGTGACCGGTGTGATGTGTGTGTGGTCGTGTGTGTTGGTGCATGCGATAGCGCTGCTGTGAATGTGCGTGCGTGCGTGCGTCGGGGCGGAGCGTGTGTTGTGTCCTCGCGAAGGCCGGTTTCCCCATCGCCGAAAGTAGATCGATGTGTGTGTTGTGTGGTGTGTGTGTGTGTTGTGGTGTTGTGTGTGGTGGTGTGTGGTGTCGATGTGTGTGTGTGTGTCTGTAGTGTTGTCTATCTCGCTCGCTCGTCTCGCTGCTCTCGCTCTGCTCTTTAATATATATATTATATTAATGATAATCATGCTAGCGAGCTGGTGATAGAGTGTGGCCTACGATAAATACGCACAAGCAAGTTAGTCGAATATCGCTGGCGCACGCATCGCATGCCTGGTTCGGGCATTTACATTTCCAAAGGCCGTCAAGGCATCGCCGCTGTTTCTTTACAACTTCAATGCGTCTAGCGAAACAGTCTCGCTCACCTAACTCCGCGTCTGTGTCTGTCGTCACTGTCGTTCGCAGGTCATTTAAATCTGTGAGAACACCATCCTTCGAGAGAAGTAGAATGGAAAACAAATCAGTTCACGGCGTCTCACACACGGCTACGTGGGTAACGCCACCGCCAGCGTAACGTCTGCTCGGAGTTAGGCACACACATTTGCGTGTCACACAGGACTAGTTCAAGACACGTAGCCGCCGGGAGCTGGTCACAGCTGCATATGAAAGGAACGGTAAAACAGGTAATAGGCCGCCGGGCCGGCGATGTTGCATGACGGCGTGTCCTCGCAGACCGGGTCAAAATCATCACGGCGAGTGGAATCATGCCAGCGGCTTCAGTCTCGAGTTGCCTCGCGTTTCTACTCACTACCAAAGCACCACACGTCAGTGGGCTAACAAGCCCCTTTCGCTATACGTTGCGTTCCCCTTTCTAGCAATAGCCATTACATACTGCCCCGTTTCGGGATTAAGGCTGCCAGTGCGCGACGAATAACCAGATGCGATTTAGCCCCAGATATGCTTTCAGAGTCACGCCAGCAGGGTAATGCGGGATTTGCCTGTTGTCTAGAAACCTTGGTTGGACGGACTGGTCAGCATTTTCTACCGGTAATCCATTAACAGTCCGTAATTCACACACTTTGCCACCAGTGGGGCATTTAACTCGAAGGGTACGGAAGCCTCGAAGGTGGGTCGAGCCAACAAGAGGAGCTAGAACTCACTATTATCTAGGCTGGCCTCAGGCTTGGAAACGAAAG